CTGTAAATCAAGACACCCAGAAACTGGAATGTCCACTCAACAACCAGGGTCCTCTGCCTGAGCTCTGAAGACAAAGGGGAGGTGTGACTATGAAGCTGGCAAAGGAGCATGTTTGCTCTCATGGTCTGTGCGCTTACCCCCACCTTGCTGAAGTTTGCCCCCGAGGAGGAAGCTTTGCAACGAAGACAACCTGGGGAGGAAACCTGGGTGTTGTTACTATTATTGACTTACAAGCACAGAGTTTCACTGCGTGTGCGTGTATGCGCGATACCATTTTTCTGCCCCTAAATGGCATTGTTCAAGAAAGTAATAATACAGATACACTTTAACTGCCCTTCTGCTAAAGGACCAATCCTTAGTACAAAAGTTGATCTTCCTTTTGCAAACTAAACAGAAACTTTATCAAAAGAAGAAATTTCAAATTGCCAAAAAAACACATGGAAAAAATGCTCACCATCTCTTAGCCATAAAGAAAAATACAAATTAAACACACTAAGATTTCAAAACACCTCACCCCTGTTAGAAGCAGCCATCATCAGCAACACACCAACAACAGGTGTTGGCGAGGATGCGGGGAAAAGAAACCCTCTACACTGCTGGGGGAAATGCAAACTAGTAAACCACTTCGGAAGAAAAAATCTGGATGCTCTTAAAAATCTAAACATGAGCATCTACCATATGATCCAGCCCAATACCACTCTTGGGGACTATACCCAAGGACTGTGGACAACAGTGTTACTCCAGAGGCACACTGCACATCCATGTTATTGCAGCCACTATCTCACAATAGGCCCCAAGTTATGGAAACAGCCAAAGATGCCCCACCACCAACGAATGATAAGAAAAATTGGTATTTATACACAATGGAATTTTATGGCACCACGAAGAAGAATGAACCCTCTTATCATTCACAAGTAAATGGATTGGAACTGGGGAAACATCATTACTGAGCGAGCGTTAGCCGTGGCCCAAAAGGACCAAAATCATATGTTCTCCCTTCATATGCGGACATTAGATCAAGGGCAAACACAAGGGTTATTGGACTCTGATCACATGATAAAGCGAGAGCCACACAAGGGAGGGAGGTGTGAGGATAGGTAAGACACCCAAAAAACTAGATAGCATTTGTTGCCCTCAATGCAGAGAAACTAAAGCAGATGCTTTAAATCGACAGAAGTCAATAGGACAAGGGTACCAGGAACTAAAGAAAAGTTTAGTTCGAGAAGAATTAATTTAGAAGGTAACACACATGTACAGGAAAGCAATGTGAGTCAGCTCCCTATATAGCTACCTTATCTCAACTAGCAAAAACCCTTGATCCTTCCTATCATTGCTTACACTCTCTCTTCAACAAAATCAGAGATAAGGGGGTGGGGGAGGATTAGTTCAGAAGAATTAATTAGAAGGTAACACACATGTACAGGAAAGCAATGTGAGTCAGCTCCCTATATAGCTATCCTTATCTCAACTAGCAAAAACCCTTGATCCTTCCTATCATTGCTTACACTCTCTCTTCAACAAAATCAGAGATAAGGGGGTGGGGGGAGGAGAGAGGGGGTGGGGAGGGGAGGAGAAAGGGGGAGAAATGACCCAAACATTGTATGCACATATGAATAAAATAAAAATTAAAAAAAAAAAAAAGCAACAACAACAACAACAACAAATGGCTGGTGGAGTGGCTCAAGGTAGAGTACCTACATAGCAAGCGTGAGTTCAAACCCCAGTACTGGAAAAAAAAAAAAGTCTTTCTTATTGTCGTCCTTCAACAAAATTGGAGAAGTAGGCTGAACAGGTTCTGCCTGGAAGCAGGAGTGGGGGGAGGAGGGGAGGGGACTGAGATTAAGGGAGGGAGGGATGGCCCAAACAATGTATACACATTAAAAAAATAGATACTTAAAAAAATAAAACAAGTCACAAAAATACTAACTTTGATTATAGAGGCTTCCCAGTTTCTGACAAGTGTTACTGTATAGAAAAATAGGTATTTTCAAATTGAAATGACAGTCTCCGTAGAAACATTTTCAGAAGGCATATGAAAGTGATCATATCAGCTTTCTGAATTAAATTTGTGTTTTGCGATGTTAATAATCCACTTCTACTTTGTTCATGTTTGTTGCATTTTACTACGTATGAACATCTCTTCTTGCACATTCAGAAAAACCGTTATCCGATCGTGTCAAAACTTGCTGCTATTACATTTAATGTGAAACAGTACATCACAGAGACTGAAAAGCATGAGAACTTTCACTGTGGAACCCTGTGAGAGTGTTAGCATAAAACACCACTTCAGCATACAGAACAGGGAAAGTTTCAAGTGACCTGGCTCTCGACCCACGCATCATGACCTCCACCACACTGGTCATGTCCTTCTACACACACTCCCAAGCTCCTCCTTCTAAGGTTTTTAAACTCTGCCAAATTTTTTACTTCGAAATACAGATTTGCTATTCATGATTTATGTGACACTTCTGTAGAAATTATCATTGCCAGACCTATCATCCTATTTGTCAAGTTTATTTAAGGGCAGCATAAAAATTACTGCTGAAATTCAAAGTAAAATAAACACTTCAAAACAAATGGAATACTTGCAGCCTTATTTTAGGTTCCTGTTTTCCTTGAAAATACCTGGAGATGATTTAATCCATATCTTTCCACTGATAAAAGTGGAACCTCACTCAGCTATGTGATTGTTGAGAAAAACACAACATGTCCTGCAGTGTTCAAATAATTTAAATAGAAAACTGAAAAGTTACAAGTGGTATTTCCTATAATGGCCTCAAGTAAGTGCTGTGCCTTTGGTCCAAGAGAAGTTTCTTGTATTTTAATTATGTAAGGCAAAATTTCATTATAGGAATTGTTGTAAGAGCTGATAAGCTTCTCACTCTGCATTTGGTGTCAGTCTTAGCATTTTGGACATTTTTCACAAATAACAGTAATTCAAGAGAAACACTGTTTTATCATGACACAATGGACAGAACATGAAAGGAAGTTCTGCAAGACCCAAAGAGAAGAATAAGGGAAGTGCATGCTCCACCTGACCAGCTCTGCATGCGGGCCCAGGCGTCTGTAAAGGTGAAGGACATGGAGCTGATGAGTCCTTCAGGAACTCTGACTTGAAGGAACACATAAAATAGAAACCCTACTGCTCTGCAGCGACATAATTCTAACTCACAAATTAAACCACTCGAGTACCAATATTTAATGATTACTGGTGCTTTCAATATTGGAGCCACCCTCTGAAGCAAGCACTGGATCACACTGTTCACTGGCTTTCCCACCTCAACTTATTAACCAGGAAATGAAAAATATGAAGGTGAACCCCTTTCAGTATGTAGAAGATGGAGGCCAGTGGGACTACAGCTGTTAAAAGCAAAGGGTGTGCTGGCTTGGCCTTGGACTCCCTACTTAATGCCTGCTGAGCAGCCACAGTGAACAAGTGAGGACCACAGCTCTCTCCTTGCTGGAGGCAGGAACTCACCACCTCCTCCCTGCCTCCCCCAACTTAGGCTTGGACTCAGGTGTTAGAAAAGTTAAGGGTTTAAGGTAAATACTTATTTTCAAACGTGCGTGTGTGCACACACACAGACACACACAAATGTGATTTCTAATTAAAGCTGCACACTAGGACTGACAAACTCAGGCTGGCAGTATACAGACTATGTGGCTTCCAGAAAAACCTTAAGAACATGGAAAACAAATCCTTCACATTGTTTACCAACTTGCTCATCTAACCACTAGAAGATTCTAATAACTGCTCTGATAATGTAGTGTGTAGGGGGGACTGTTAACATCAAGCCACCCTCTTTCAACCTGATCCTGTATAATGAAGGTGAGCCCCTTCCCCAGACACACACACACACACACACACACAAATTTTATGTTTTATCTCCCAAATCAGGCAGTCAGTAGTGAATGCTTCCAGGAACGTCAGTGCTTTCACAGTAAATGGAAATTTACAGCTATATGGCCCTCAGCTTTTCTAGGAAAGCTAGTAGTTCTATTTCTGTTTCATCAGGGAAGCCATTGTTGAGTCAGTTTCCCAGCTTCACATATCAATTTCAGTACTAATCATTTACCGATTTAATTGATTATTTTTACTTGTTATTCTATGTATTAAATACTTTTCTAGAAGCCGATGTCAATTACATGAGTTTTTCTCAATGTTAAGAGGATGTCTTAACAGGAAAATTTAACATAATCTTTATAAGAAAATATGTAAAACCAACAATTTCATTCAGATACAAAAAAGAATCATTATGTCATCCAGGGAAGTTTCTCATGTTTGACTACAAAGTTCCTGCATATAAATAAAAATTTAAGTACTTAGGTGCCTCTAGAAATCTGGGTGCATCTTAGGTTGCTTTCTTTTCACTTTTGCTGCTTACCAACAGATTTCTATCTGTGCTCTAGTATAAATGCATGCATCCCACTAACTCATCCATAGCAAGTCATCTTGAGACCAGACATATGAGGAAATAACTAATATGGTTTTAATTGTGCTTTAATGTCACAAGGTCAAAATGAAAAACTGCAAACTGTGATCCTAAATTTTATTTCCAAAGTTCCAGAAGTACGCTAGAACTGTACAGATTATAGGATTAGCCTTTTCTGTGCTTTCCTTCGAAATTAGACATTTAGTCCAGAAATCATGCAAAAATAACCAGAGGATTATTTCTTGGGATGAATTCTTTCAGGCTGCTTCAAGAAAAGAGAGCTGAGGGTATATAACAAGTTTAATAAAATACATCTCAAAACACCAAATTTGTGAAATGAAAACGAATGTGCACTCATTTCTGTTCCACTTCCGTATCACCTGGGAGGACAGGCGCTCAGAGGTGCATCACTGATGTAATTCAAACGTGAAACAAGTAGAGACAAAGAGCACAAAAAATCTACTCTGCTGTTTTGTAGGCATCACCTGGGTAAAGATAGAACACAAAGGTGTGATGGTGTCATTATTTTGTTAGGAGAGGTCTGAGCCCAGCAGATGCAGCCCTTACCATGTCTCCAGGTTTGACAGAGAAGGCCACCACCACTCCTGGCATCGGCGAGCGTAGAATGCTGCTTGTGTCCTCAGCCACTTTTTCCAGCATAAATTTGTTCAATTCTGCCGCGAGTTTGGTTAAGATACGTACCTTGTACTTGAAGGAAAAAACAAAACAAAACAAAAACATAAAGGAGTTTAAATGATGAACTTTTCCTTCAAAGTCACGCTCATTCAAAATCAGTTTTTAGCTTTTCAATTAAAATTACAATAATGTCCTTTAAGTCAAGCATTTTTAAATGTTCTTATACAACCATCAAAATAGATTTCTGACATGCATTGAGAGTCAGTTATTTAAGAATTTTTTTTTGAAATAAGAACTACTCCAGCTGTTAATTAGTAACTATACTAAACATCCTGAATCCTTGAGAAAAACACCTCAAACTCTGTAAAGAAAACAGCAGGAATTGTGCTTGATCTCCCTTCACGGCTTCCCAACTTCAGAGGAAGGGAAGTCCTGTTGACTGAGACAGCCAAAGGGCTACAGATGCACCAGCAGATGGCAGCAGACGGCCATCCAAACCTGTACCCCTCCAGGTCGGCTGCACTGGGCGGATCAGTAAGTTAAAACAAAGGGTTTTCGTGTTCATTTGGACAAAACAATCTTTAAAATTCAATTTTTTTAGTGACATAAAACATATTCACACCAAAAGAGTCAGATTTTGTTTTTAGGTACAATATCATGCAGCCTTTCTGATGTAACAAGGCGGTTAGGATAAAGATAAAATAGAATGAGAATGCCTTCTGGCTCAGAGACCATCACATCAAGATTTTTAAAAGATGGACAGAAAACAGTATGCACATCAGGTATTTTCATGGAATCTTTTATAGATGGTTCTCAAACACTTAGGGGCACCTTAAAGTGAGTCTGGTCAAACAACATTTCTAAGAAAAGAGAATTCCTACTAGGCAGGAAAAATCCTAGATTTCTGTGGATCAATGTATGAGCCAAAATTTGGTCTATCCAAACAGAAATGGGATAAAATGGTTTTCAGAGTGTTACTGGAAGATTTCTACATTCTTACTGGCTTGAATGTCTGGGACACGACAGAGCAGCACCCACTGTGCAGCTCCACTGTGCTGGAGGGAAGCTGCTGTAACTCAAAGCCTCCTGTGGGCATCATGATGGCAAGGATGCAAAGACAAAGTCTAATTCACCCTTTGATTCTGTATGGGACAGCAGAGATCTCCAAGTGGGCTCTTTGCAGGATCTATTTTAAAGGGATAGGAGGGAGGGGCCCCAGCAAAGAGCTTTGATGGCCTAGGTTCCAAGTAGATTTGTGACATGGTGACAGGTTGAATAATAACATCTTTTGCATGTTTCTTTACTCCTGAGTGTGTGTTTTGCAATCAAGACATACAAGTGTCTGCCAGTTTCTGAAGGATATGATCCTTAAGTGAAATTACAGTGCAAATAAAAGCTTTTTGCTCCTATTAAAATTCATCTGAGTCATAAGTGGCAAAGGAAAAAGCAAGGAGAGTGCATGCTGCTGTCAGTCTAAGAAACACTCTGGGCAGAGGGACTATTTATCACCGATGAATTGTACCTCCAAGTCCTTCATTATACCAATGGGGGGGGGTTGTAGACGGAGAGGGGAGAACATAATTGGGCCAAATTGCACAGTTTTAGTATCTGTGCTCTGTCTGCCTTGGAAAGAAAAATCCCCTATCACTCAAGCCATGAGAGTCAACTGAAAAGTTACTTTTCCAGCTGGCGTCACCCTGGGGGCTCCTCCTATTGCCACTGGCCAGCATTGTGTCTCATCTTCCAATGTAACATACGAATTTATTTTTTCCTTGTTTTTGTCACAATTCAACTTCAAAATGTAACCTCTGAATTCAGGAAAAGAATCTTTATACCTTCAGAAGAAGAAGATTACAACTTTCGCCACGCAAATGTGTAAGAATTCATTTTTGCTATCACAAATAAGGCTTAATAGAAACACAGTGCTAATTAAGACTGTGCTCAGCACCATTTCTCCCCAGCAATGACCAGATTCTGACTAAAACTGGATTTTTCTTGCTATTTTTGTAATTTTCCTATCTTTTGGATTCCTTTCTCTGTAGGATTCCTGCTTTGCTTGGAAGGAGATGTAAAAGAGTCACAAAACTCAATGCCTTTAGACACAGTCTTTGTTATTGATGAGATGTTCCTTTTCCTTTTGTATTTGTTTATTGTTCTTAAATCTGTTGGGGGATAAGTGACTTATTGTAATCTTAAGCAAAAAATAACAACGGAGTAAATGCCTCAGAGTTGTTGCACAGAGTTGGCTTAGAAGTGACCTTTTTTGAATATAAAAAAAGAAGACAGAGAGAAAGTTTGCTTCTTAAGATTACCTTTGATGTTGTCTTGACCCCTTCAGAGTCAGCATCTCCACACAAACACCCCAGTTTTAAAAAACAGTCTCCTGACAGCCCACAGCAGGGCGTGCCCAAATGGGGACTAAGCAGGGTGC